ATCCTGACTAGGCCTAATCGCCTGGTTGTCCTGACTGTGCTGTGTGATGGCACTCAAGATCTGCTCCGTAACCTTCCCCAGCACTGAGGTCATACTGACAGGCCTGCAGTTCCCCGGATCCGCCTTCCAACCCATCTTGTAGATGGACATCACATTTTCTAACCTCCAGTCCACTGGGATCTCCCTGATAAGCCAGGACTGCTGATAAATGAAAGTGGCTTGGTGAGCAGTTCTGCCTGCTCCCTCAGTTCCCTTGGGTGTTTTCCATCCATCCCCATAGACTTGTGGTATGTCTAAGCGGTGTAGGAGGTCACTAACCGTTTTCCCGTGGATTATGGGGATTATTTTGCTCCCCATCCCTGTCTTTCGGCTCAGAGCGCTGGGTTCCTTGAGGGCATCTGGTCTTATTATTAAAGACTGAGGCAAAGAAGGCATTAAGTACCTCAGCCTTTTCTTCATCCTTTGTCACTTATGTTTCCCCCCACATCCAATAAAGGATGAAGATTCTCCTTAGCCCTCTTTTTGTTGCTAATGTATTTACAGAAACATTGTGAATTGTCTTTTACAGCAGTAGCCAGATTAAATTCTAGTTGAGTTTTGGCCCTTCTAATTTTCTTCTTTCATAACCTCACAACATCCTTGTAGTCCTCCAGAGTTGCTTGCCCCTTCTTGCAAAGGTCATAAACTTTTTTTTTCTCTTTTGTGAGTTACAGCTAGAGCTCTCTGTTCAGCCAGATGAGTCTTCTTTCCCACCAGCTTGTCTTTCTGCACATAGCAACAGCCTCCTCCTGTGCCTTTAAGATTTCCTTCTTGAAGAATGTCCAGCCTTCCTGGACTCCTTTGCCCTTCAGGATGCCTCAGAATATATTGTGGGGTGTTTTTTAAATTTGTTTTTCCGATGCTTTGAGGTTAGTAATATAAATCTGATATTCAGGTAGAAGGGTGCTATGTTTTTTGACCTAAATTAAGCAATATTAGAATTTCATGGTTCTTGCACTACTTTTGCCTAAAGATGTGGCTCTAACTCACTTTGATCCACCCAAAAGTGACAGAAAAACAATGCTTAACAAGTAGTTGAATTGGATTTGTGATATGGTGTGACCCATACTGAAAATCATAGAATCCTAGAATGTTGTGAGTTGGAAGGGACCCACAAGGATCATCCACTCCAACTCCTGTCCCTGCACAGGACAATCCCAAGATTCAGACCATGTGTTTGAGGACATTGTCCAAATGCTTCTTTAATACTGTCAGTCTTGGTGCCATGAGCACCTCCTTGGGGAGCCTGTTCCAGTGCTCCACCACCCTCTGGGCAAAGAACGTTTTCCTGATGTCCAACCTAAACCTCCCCTGGCACAGCTTCCTGCCATTTGCTCTGGTCCTATCATTGGGCACCACAGGGAAGAGATCAGCACCTGCCCCTCCTCTTCCCCTTGTGAGGAAGTTACAGACTGCGATGAGGTCTCCTCTCAGTCTCCTCTTCTGCCGGCTGAACAAACCAAGCAACTTCAGCCTCTCCTCTCATGGCTTCCCCTCTTTCACCAATTTTTGGCCGACCTCTGCACACTCTGGAAAAGCCAGAGGAAAACATTTTTTGCTTATTTAATAGTTGGATTCTTGGAAGCCAAAATGCTTCAGACACCACATCATCAGAAAAAGTGAGAATGTCAAGTTGGTTTGTTTTTCAGCCCAAATAGTACTTGTTAGTTTAAGGCCCGCTTTTCAGCATTTTTCTGAGAATTATTATTTATCGCGGTGGGTGGTTTATCTATTTTCTGTTTAAAGAAGAGATTCTGTTTAAAGATTTCCCTTTTTAGGAATTTTTTTTTTTGTTTCAGAATTAATTTTTCAAAGTGATTCAATGTCCACAGGAATGAAGAGTTATTTGGAAGTATTTTAAGTACTCTAGTAGTAAGTTGATATTATAATTTGATTGATTAGATTTTCTGCAGTGTATTTAGACTATTTTTAATGTTTCTGTAATACAGCATGCACTGGTATATATTTCTTCATGAAGTCTTTTGGATGTTTTAATTGGACAACTTTCCAGATAAAACCTGCAAAATAAGATCTTGATTTTAATATTTGCATTAGTCAAAGATCCATGTACTTGATGAGACAGTCTTGGAAAATTGCGTTGCACAAGCTGAATTGGTGTGAATATTTCCCTAAATAATGTAATTGCCTCAACAGTAAACAGAAACTGCAAGAGCGGCAAATAACTCCTTAGAGTTAGTGTTGATCAGCACCTCTCCAGGAAAATCAGGGTGTAAAACCTTGGAAAATAGATCTAAACCTCAAGAAACAAGAGATAACTAAGTTTGGTTTTAGTTTGTCTCAATACACTCTCTTAAAATAATCTACTGTTGGTTCTTGAAAATGCATTGTAGCTTTCTGTCTTCTGCAATAAAGTATGATGTACTTCAGCACAGTGAGTACAAACAACATGGGTACGCTAGAAAAACTCTCAGGATCACCATTTATCTCAGGTGTACCCTCTGGAATATCCTAAGCATATTTAACATAGTTGCAAATGTTCCATTGATGGGATTAAATCTTTAAAATAAGAATACCTCACAAGTTTTGCACATACTTGCATATCCATATAAAGCAGAAAAATAGCCTACTCTGACCTCACCGTTATATCATAGCATGAGCTGCATTTGCCTGCTGCAGGTAAACCCCATAGTGTGCCTTTAATAAAGAGCAATTCTACACTGAAATTAAAGAAGCAACTTGAATGTGTGATTTCTAGATTATTCATATGAAAGCATGCAGTTTAAATAAAACTTTAAAATCTGTTTTTTGTATCGCAGACTTATCTCCTCGTATTATTCCACTGCAACACTCTTTGGTTACCAGAGCTGTCAGGGACCAGAACCTTTCATCTGTTTGGACAGCTGAATATGCTCTTGATTTGTTCTTTATTGGTGGACTCATTCCAGAAGCTGTGTGGTTAACACACAGACTTGGGAACTGGAAACTGTCTGTTTCGATTGGTGTGGTGTACCAGCTGTATTGTCAGAACTCTGATGAATTTTCAAGGTAAATTTGAGCTTGGAATTGGTATACTATATTTTGTTATTAATGTTATTTGCATCAAGTTTATTGTAACAAGGCGTATCCTTTGCTTCAAAAATTCATATTCCCAGACTCCTAGTAGGTGTAGGACCTAAATTGTTAAAATTAGTTCTTTTGCTCTAAATACTGATTTAACAGAGCTTCATTAGATTATCTGTGGGTTTTACTTTATTAATGAACAGTTTCCTGTTACCCTTTCAGACTGAAAAACACAAGACGTCACCTACCATTAAGCTTATCACCAATGCAGACTTTTCAAGAAAAGTTACAGTCTTTGTTAGGACAGCCAGTTACTTCTGAAACATCAGGCTGTGTTAAATACAAGCAGTTTACAGGTACATAAAATTACAAATAAATGTGGCTTTTTCGTGTTATTTCACTGCGTATTCTGTGTGATATGCTGTCTTAGAAAGGAAAAATTACCTTGTCTTCTGTATGTGCGTTACTGTTATAGTGTATTCAAATACTTTAATTTTATAGGGGTTTGGATTTTGGCTTTGATCATTCTAAAAATGGACCATATTATCAATCTTGTCTCTTCGTGCATATCAGCCAAAACCTTATTTGTCTGTATTTCATACTGACTTCAGTTTGGAAGAACACTAAAGCTTCATTTAAAACAAACAAACAAATGCTCTGAAGCAAATGCTAATGTATTAACAGTATGGAAAGTGTCGTCATACTTAGAACTAGTTGTCGGCTGGTGTTTAATTTTTGCCTTTCCTTTCTGTTAAAGAAAAGAGGGGGTGTCATAGGTCTGTGCTCCTAGGTCCAACAGTTAGCAGAGCTGAGACTGTGTTCCCTGTAGGTACATGCACAGACACACATACACAACACCTGTATACAGTTGGCCACACAGATACTGATTTGAAGAGGCTCAGCCTGGGCTGGAGTCTGGTCCACCTTGGAGCCAGGGGAGCTTCTCGAAGCTTCTCACAGGGCTTGTGGCTGTCGCCACACAGCAAACCCAACACACTAGTTTATGCCTGCTTTTTGAAAATGATTTGCCAGAATTTTATGCCAAGCAAATGCATGGCTGAAAAGGTCAGTTCTCTACCTAGAAAGGCAATAGCTTCCCTCTTAAAGTGGCAAACCCTAAAATTAATAATTGAATACTGTTTTCAAATGTGAGAGATCTCATCTTAAAGCAAGTAGATGTGATGTATACATTATAATAGATGAATACAAATTCTGGGAACATAGCCTCATCATTTCAGAATGAAGACCACGTATGTATTGAGTCAATTAATGTGTGAGTTTCTGTGCTTAATGTTTTATAGATCCCATTGAAGAGGAAGATGCAAATATTCTTTATAGTTCAATACAGGAGCTACTGAAAGCAGCTGTTATGGCAGATGCTGATATTCTCTCAGAGACATTTCAGCTTTTGATGGATTCTGCCAAGGATCTTAGCAGAAAATTGTATGGTTTGGTTCCAGATGGACTTTATCTTCCAGCACCACCATTATACTGTCCTCAGCCAGCTTCTCTCAGTGAAGTAAGCATGCACGATGGGAACTTCTTGTTTCTTTTGTATTTATGAAATAATAATGAGCTTTATCCTGGTTCCTTTCAGCTCATTTTTCTGTCTGTTTTTTTCCACATCTGTTCATTTAATTAAGTAACACCATAGTGATAAGAAAGTATGTTTTTTCCGTAAAGGATCTAAGCTCTAAAGAAGAAGGGAAATATTCTTAGGAGCACAAACAATGTGTAGGTCAGAATGCTGATTCTATATGTCCTTTCTAATTTTGGGGTTTGTTTTTCTCATGGAATTTGCATTTTTCAGGAAGACTGCAGTGACATTCTTTTAAAAATGGAGAGAGAAAGTCGTCAGAAAGTGTCAGGAGTTCTTCAGCGAATTATCTTGCTCTTCCGGGCTGCTCGTTGTTCCTGCCCTGCAGCACAGTGGTATATTGCACAACTGAAGTGGGCAAGAAAAGTTATGCAAAAAGTAAGCATTTAACTTGGGTTTTTTGTAACTTGATTATCAGTTGTAAATACTGCTGACAAACTTGTGATTGTATTGTAGAAGCATTCAGTCTCATTTGGACTTTGATGTCATGTTTTTTACATGTCATTTTCTAGTTTTAAACTCCATGTGCAGTTCTTTTAGGAAACCAGAACTTAAAGATACAGAGTATCTAATTCATAAAGTGTGTCCTGTGTGTCTTTCC